CACACACACACACACACACACACACACACACACACACACACACAAAGGGCCAAATTGTCAGCATATTCACAAAGTATAATAGTATCCTCCACTTTTAAAAACGAAAATTTTCGCCAAAATTCAAAAAAGTGCTTTTTTGGGGGGGTTTTTTCAATTTTACTTTTTTTCGGGTTGGACTGCTGCTGCTGCTGCTGCTGCTGCTGCTGCTGCTGGAGGAGGAAGTGACGGTACAACTGGATGAGAACGGGATGCACAAGGGCTGAGGCAGGCGGCTTTGTCTTCATCATGGATCAACAAGGTGTGTGGGCTTGTCGTGTCGCGATGGACCGCCGGCGGTCTGCTTAGCTCAGCATACATGCGGATGTTTTGCGGTGGGGCTGACGACAAATGTTTGCAGGCTCTCGTGTGCGCGTCGCGCAGCTGAGCGACTACGAAGTGTTGGAGGTCATTGGCACGGGCACGTTTGGAACGTGCGAAAAGATTCGACGCAAGAGCGACCAGCAGGTGGGTTTCCCGCCATCGCTGTACCCAAGTCATCATCCGAAAAGTCATCACCCGAACTTACCCCGCCTTCCGCCACCTCGACATGTCACGCCCCTGGCCTTAGCTATTCGTTTGGAAGCGCATTCGCTATGGCGAGATGAACGATAAGGAAAAGCACATGCTCGTGGCCGAGGTTAACATCCTCCGTGAGCTCAAGCACGACCACATCGTGCGCTACCATGACCGGTACGTACGCCCTGGCCAATGCCCCAAACCCGATCGCCTGGTCTTGACCTCACCTAAACCCGTGTCCGCAGCGTTATTGACCGCGAGAACAGCACCATCTACATCATCATGGAGTACTGTCCGGGAGGTGACCTGGCCGCTCTCATCAAAACCCATCGTCGACAACGGTGAGTTTCCTGATGCTGCAAAAAAATGCGTTGCAAGCTCGCTCGCCGTGCCAACACGTCCCCATGATGCCGTCATGTGCACCTTATTGCATGCCTGCACGACATGCCCCCGCAGTACACGGGCGTCGGAGCAGCTGATCCGTCGGATTTTCCGGCAACTGGTTGAGGCTCTTGGCGTGTGTCACCACCGAGCACAGGGTGCCATCATTCATCGTGACCTCAAGCCTGGGAACATCTTCCTTGATCAAAATGGTGCGTAGCGTACAGAATTCATTCCTAGCAACGAGCGTTTGGCATGCCGAATGCCCTCACCCATATCATCGACTCTCTCTCCACCTCCGTCTCTCATCGCTGCGTTGCTGACGCAGGCAACGCCAAATTGGGTGATTTTGGGCTCTCCAAAGTGCTGAGCGCTCGCACAAATCTGGCCAGCACATTTGTTGGCTCCCCCTACTACATGAGTCCAGAGCTGATTTCTGAGTGCGCATACACAGCCAAGAGTGACGTGTGGTCCCTAGGCTGCATCATCTACGAACTCGCCGCTCTCCATCCCCCCTTTGAGGCCTGGTCCCAGGCCGAGCTTGCCGTCAAAATTCGCAAGGGAACCTTTGAACACTTGCCCACCACCTATTCAAGAGAGCTGGACGACTTGGTCCGGTGCGTTGACGTCCTTTGTCTGAACGCGCGCCAAGGCCATGGTCGCAGCTACATGCACATGAGGTACTCACCCCGTTTATTATGCCCGAATTGCCACTCGCTTTGGTTCTAGATCCATGCTCCAGCAAGACTATCACCTACGTCCCTCGGTCCTTGAGCTTCGCAAGCATCCCTATTTGGCATATGCCCAGGCCTCGCCCGACGTACGGGCCATGCCATCAACACCTCCCGCCGAACAACATCGTCCGGTTGCACGCCGCGGACAAGCACGCCGTTTGCCCAGCACGACCAGCAGTGATCACGACAGTAGTGGCAGCGGCGCCGAATGCCGACGCTGCGATCGCTTGGCCCGGCTGGAAGAAGAGCTGGCTCAGCGCCAAGCCGCTTTGGATGCCCGGGAGCAGCTATTGGATGCACGCCTTCGTGCGCTCGACCAGCGCGAGCGCCAGCTCCAACTCTTTACCAAGCAACATGCTGCGTTTGGCAAAGGTACGCATCAGCACTCATCCCAAGCGGCCTCCACTCCTTCCCACCCACCCTGCTTCAAGAAGCGCCAACCTTGCTTGCCCTGACCGTTATTGACACATTGTAGAAAATGAGGCACCTGCTCTGCGCAAGATTAGGACACCGTTCGCGCCTGGCGGAAGCCCTCGAGAACGGGTCGTCTACAACGTCTACAGTGAAATCGGGGCACCTTGGCCTCAAGCTGGCACGCCATGAGCAAAAACTGCTCGGGTGCTTAAAGTCTTCAAGATCCTCCCTCATAGTAAATAAACTTCTCCAGTGTCTAGCCCAGCACGATGTTGCACATAGATGAAGACCATCCGTGGTTATTGCTGGGCTCTCTGTTCCATCATTTCTTGAGAGCCCGATGTCTCATGCGGGCTGACCTGTGCGCCAGAGGCGCCAACTTTGTCGTCGTCTTCCGTTTTTAAATCTTATTTCCTCTTTGTGTTCGCCGGTTTATAATCGATTTCGTTATTTCTTCGATTCTTTTACTCATTCACGTCGACGCTTTCAGGTTAGTAAAAGGCAGCCGGGTCGATAAGTGACCCGACATGTCGAGTTTTCCTTGTTCCAACAAAGTGAAGCAGTAGGAGATGGTACATTACCGAGTACAAATGCCCTGGCCATAACGGGATACGACAATGTATGAGAGTTTGCAAAAAAAAAAAAAAAAAAAAAAAAAAGAGAAAAAAAAAACGATGACAACACCTCATCCTTTTCGTTCAGCAAAAACCGAAATGGATTTGAGAAAATGGGGTAGCTCAAGACGCTTAAATTTTGAATCAATTTGGAATCAAAAGGTAGCGGCGGATCACGAGGCTTGGACGGGCACAGAAACGGTGGCTGTTGCGGCTCAACACGAAAAAGAAGCACGCGGTGTTTACTTCATGGTGGGCATGGCAGTGGCAGCCTTGAGCACATCAGCATCGGCGTCGCGCCAGAGGCTGGTGACGGTCTTGAGCTGAGTGTAGAAGTTGACGCCGGCCTTGCCATAAAAGTTGCAATCGCCGAGGAAGGAGCCCTTGTTACCGGTGAAAGAGAAGAAGGGAAGGGGCACGGGAATGGGGACATTGACGCCGACTTGGCCAGACTCAATCTCCATGGTGTACTTGCGTGCCGCAGCACCAGAGTTGGTGAAGATGGCCGTGCCGTTGCCCCAGCGGTTGGCGTTGACCAGCTTGATGGCCTCATCGATGGTGTCCGCATGAAGGCAGACAAGGACCGGGCCGAAAATCTCCTGTTGATAGCAGTCCATGTCCGTCGTAACGTCAGTCAAGATGGTGGGGCCCATCCAGTTGCCGTTGGGGTAGCCCTCGACTTGGACGTCACGGCCATCAAGAAGAAGGCGAGCACCCTGCTGCACGCCGCTTTCCACAAGATCAAAAGCGCGCTGCTTGGCCTGGGGCGAGATCATGGGTCCAATGTCGGTGCCGGCCACGTCGCCTGCGTTGACAGTGAGCTGCTTGGCCAGACCCACCAGGTCCTCAGCCCAAGACTGAGCCTCACCAACCAGCACCACCGTGGAGAGAGCCATGCATCGCTGACCCGCAGCACCAAAAGCTATGAACAGCGATCCGACCAAGTGTGGCCAGGCAACAGTGAGGCATGACAATGGCACGAGTAGTGGCACGATCGTCCGTGTTGATGCGCAAATGACGATCTGAGAAGAGCTGAAGCCAAACAAAAGCAGGTAGAAGGGGACGCACCGGCGCCGACGAGGGCGTTAAGCGTGGCCGTCTTGTTGGCATCGGGCAGAATAACACCGTGGTTCTTGGCGCCCATGTTGCTCTGAACACGCTTGCCGTTGCTGGTGCCTCGGTCCCAGATGTGCTTGCCAGCCTGATCCGAACCAACGAACGAGATGGCACGGATGGCCGGATCGTCGCAGACAAAGTTGACAGCTGTTGACAGACAAGCATGGAAAAAGGTGGAATGAGACGAGTCTTCAAGTGTGCAGACGGAAACACACGAGGAAAGAAAATACAGGGAAAAAATTGAAAAAAAGAAAAACAGAAAAAGAAAAAGAAAAAGAAAAAAGAAAAGATTCGTCATCATGAAGGCTTGAAAGCACACACAGGAAGATGGGGAATCGGGAGGTTAGGAAAAAAAAAAGGGAATACCTACCGTCATGAGCACCGTGAATGACGTTGAAGACGCCCTTGGGGAAGCCGGCCTCCATGGCAAGTTCCGCGATCATCATGGTAGCAGCTAAGGGAGCGTTGAGTCGGTGAGGGGCGGGCATGTTTGAGGGTGTCAGCAACCAACGCCTCGAGGCAACCACCTTACTTGGCACGCGCTCGCTGGGCTTCATGACCATGGTGTTGCCACAAGCAAGGGAGAGCATCATCCAGAGAGGAATCATGGCCGGGAAGTTGAAGCTGCACACACGAGGGGGGGGGGACGATGGACAGTGCCATGGCCATGCGTGAGAAATGAGCCATGGCCCGGTGCATGACGCTGCACCTTTGAGAAATGAAGCAGTTGGTATGCAACGCGTGCCAAGTTCTTACGGGCAAATGCCACCCGTGACGCCGAGAGGAATGCGGTAGCTGTAGGTATCCAAGTCCTTGGCCACGCCGGGAACGGTTTCACCCATCATCAGGGTGGGGATGGAGCAGGCGTGTTCGATGACCTGGATGCCACGCAAGACGTCACCCTCGGCGTCGGCCAGGGTCTTGCCCTGCTCCTTGGTGATGGCGGCGGCAATGCGAGACTGGTTCGCACGCAACAGGTGCTGCAGCTTGAACATGCAAGCTTGGCGTGTCAGAATGGAAGTATCCTTCCAGGTGGCAAAAGCCTACGGGTGGCGCAAAGCAGGAAGAGGAGGGGCTTGAGATGGGAGGGGTGTTACCTTGGCCCAATTACGTGGCTGTGGTGCAAAGATAGTGTGTGTGTGTGTGTGTGTGTGTGTGTGTGTGTGTGTTTTGCACGTACAGCGGAGGCGGCATCGCTGGCTTCTTGCATCTCAGCCTGGGTGGCGGCGGGCACTTCGGCAATGACCTCGTTGGTGGCCTAGGTCGTGTACGCCACGACGAGTCAAGTGAGCGACACCAGGTATGCTGTGCGCGACACCGGTCGGGCGGGCGGGCGTCGACAAGACATACCGGGTTGTGCACGGGGATCCAGTTGGAAGTCTCGCTGTCACGGAATTCGCCGTTGATGAGCAGCTTGACGCGGGGCTATGAGATGGCAGATTGGGTAACGGAGGCGTGGGTGTGAGGTGATCGATGGTTGGTTGAAAGCGTGCTTGTGCATCTTAGCGCACGAGGCGCTGCGAAGAAGCCTACCGTCGTGCTGGCAAAGCGCATGGCGCTCAGGTGCTACGAGGTGAAACAAGGAGCGCGGAGGAGGCAAGGGACATGCAGGGTCAATGGTCCCGCCAACATCAACCAGGCCAAAAGCAGATAGACGGGGTGGCAACGGCAATTGGAAGAAGCACATACACGCAGGGTCGTGGGACGGAAGAGGGAGCGGAGGGCCATGGCTGGTGAATACTTGTGTCCGTCAGCTCTCCTGAAAAATCCTTCTAATCAAGAAGCATCATCGCAACGGGCCGAGGGCAGACATGGTCAAGATGAGTCGAAGGCGAGGCCATTTAATCCACAGACCCATGTGCGTTCAAGCCTCTCAGGCCCAGCGGACGGCCCGAGGCCAGCGCGGGGTCACAGCTGCTCAACGTCGTCGAGCGACGGCCCCAAAACAGGGTGACATTGTCTCACATTCCACACGGGCAGGCAGATGCACACAAACGAGCCACAACTCAAATGCCTTCGCTCTATCCCTTCCTTCCCCTCCCGTGCCATTACCGCTACCCGCGCCGAGCTCCTCAGCCGCGAGAGGCAGAGGGGCCATGCCAGGCGCGTCGACCTCCATCTCTCTCTCTCTCTCTCTCTCTCTCTCTCTCTCGTTGTGCCGTCAGCACACCATTCGGTGGCTGTGCAATCCGCTCACCGCTAAGAGAAAGTGCGACTACGATCACACTTTCTACATTACAAAGCGTAATGTATTACACACTTGATATAGATTTCAAGTGTAGCAGTAAGTACACTATGGGAGGATGTGCTAATCGACTCGTGTGGTGTGATGGCTTACAAGCTGATTGTAAATCTGCATCTTCCTATCAAACAGAAACATTAAAATACCTTCGAGACACTAACAAAAATACATCAACACCCTAATTATCGTCGACTTGTTGACGTCTTTTGATCAACGTCGCTCAATGACATATGGTAGCGGACGACGGAGCAGCAGGCGTTGCATGTGTGTTGCCTTTTCTTTTGTTCACCGATCATCTTGCTCTGCTACACGGTCTTGATCTCTGTCCCTAGCTTTGGCTTTCTGTTTGACCCTGTCTCTGAGTTCAGAACGGTCTCTGGCTTACTCTCTCACACACAGGCGTTTAAGCGTGTGATACTATTCTAGGCGTATCTGCATCTCTGACAAGACCTGACTCTGGGGTTGTATCTCTGCCACAGCCTCTCACTCAATCTCCCTCTCTCAAAGTACACTTCGCGCTGGCTCATTTCTCGTTTGCGCGCTCGCTCGCTCCCACACGGTTTGTGACGCGACGGGATCGGAGACGGTGCTCTTTTGCGATAGCTTCAGCTGCGTAAGTGCGGAAGGTGGCTGGCCATGGGTGCCAATCGAGGGGCTTTGGTGATCGTGGGGCCAGTGGTGCGCCCCGCCCCCCTCACCCCAGGCATGCACGGGACAAGGGGCGTCACGCTCGCCCTTGCTTGTGCGTGTCGAGCAGCCCTCGGTTCAGGCCGGGCACTTTGCGGCTCTCTCTTGGCGTCAATCAAACGCATTTTCATTTGGGTTCGCTGGTCGTCGTTTTGGGGCTTTTAGCTTTACCATGGCCATGTCGATCCGCTCGTCGCGCGGTGCGCTTCAGCACCTGCGCACCCTTGCGCGCCAGTACGCCGTCTCGGCTCAAGAAGGTACTTTGGGTGCCAAGTCGCCGCTTTGAGCAGGCCGTTGTCACCAGCCCTGACCTGCTCCTTATCCTCCTCACCCCGGCTTGGCTCGAATTTTGCTGAGTAGCGACGAACATCGACTCGACCCTCGTTGAGGCTTACCAGGCCAATCCCTTCAACATTGACAAGATTGATATGAGTGAGGTGCGTTCTCGTCCCTGCTCTTCGCCGGCTGAGCTTTTACCCTTGCCTTTGAGCCACTGCGCGCAAAGGGCTCGTGGTGTGCCCGTCAAGGTTCGCCGCTTATCCTTCTGCTGGCTGAAATGACCCGATGCAGCTCCGCTTCGAGCCCGAGGAGAACACCAAGGGCGTTGTGCAACCCCAGCTCTACGTCGGTGACAAGTGGGTTATGCTGTCTTTATTTTCATCTGATGGGGGCTCGTCAACCCTTCTCGATCTGATCCGCCCCACCTTTGCCCGTCACCTCTCCCCGGCTGACGCTCACAGGAAGGGCCTTGAGATCTTGACGCCCTTTATGGTGACGGGCTACACCTACTTCAGCAAGATCGGCAACTTTGGTGTTGACAAGAACTTTGGCTCGGGCAAGTTCAGCATCAACAGCCTCAAGGATGCTGAATACGAGGTGAGGGACTTGGTTTCCCACTTTCTCGATAAGCCCTCGCGCCCGCTTCAAATACCTGCTGCTACGAATCATCACCTTACACTCTCGCTTGGGCGGCACGTCATTCCAGCTGATGCTGACGAACCGCCCGCTCTCCATCCAAGAAGGCGAGAACGAGCAAGCCAATGCCTTTTTTGAGCTTCTTTCCGCCTTCCGCAACAAGGTGCGTGCCGGCACTGTTCATCTATTGCTTCTGGCCTGCGGATCCACCTCGTTGATTTCTCTGTAAAACGTTGGCGTTGACTTGTCATGCCCTGCTCTCATCGTCCTTCATCGGTGCTGTTCTCGGCGGTTGTAGCTGATTGCCCATGTGGGTGAGAACCTGTCGTCGTACGACGTCCTGAACAAGAAGCACAGCTACCTGGCTGATTCCACCGATGAGGTTCGCAGCAAGGTCCTCAGTGGCTGCACCTCTCAGCTCATGCGTCCCATCACCTTCAAGGATTCGGTATGTGGCCTGCCAGTGGTTTTTCCCCTTCCTTTTGGCTTAGCTGCTGCGAGTCAAGGATCAAGGCAACCAGCATCCAGATGGTCTACACAGGGGTCGATGTCGGTCCTAGTCTGCTTGCCTCATTCAATGTGCTCTCTGATGTTGGTGTATGTGTGTGTGTGTGTGTGCGCGCGCGTGAGTAGGAGAGCACTTACCAGGCTCTGAGCCTGCGCGAAAAGGTCTACCTCAAGGCCCTGCCCGATGTCGAGTCAGTTCCCCTCACCCGCCATCCTGCTTGTTACTCAGCATGACGTTCCTGGGATGTCGCGGCACGAAAAGGGCGCTTTCCTCGTCCCTCTCATCCGTGCCTCATCCCATCCCCTCTTCTCCCCTCAGGATCAAGGCCTTTTGCGAGGAGGACCATGACATGGCACAAGATGGCTATTTGCGCAAATACCTCCCCGTCTATGATGCGTACGTTTTGCCGGTGTGGCAGACATCTGCTGCGGCTAACTCTGCTGCTTCCGCGTCGATTGACAGCTCTTTCTTTTCCGCATCCACTGACGCTGTGTGGTCATGCCGCTTGGTGCGCGTGTTGTCTGTACCTTGCTTCCTTGTTTTACGCTTCACATCTTTGCAGGAGCGGCGACAAGCTTCCCGTCGAGACGTTCAAGATTGGCTTTGGCGACGTCGTATCTTCAGTCCTGCGCGTACGTGTACTGCTTGCAATCAGCTCTGCCGAGGCCAAGGAATGGTTGATACCAAGGGGCTGTTTTAATGACGTGCATTGTTTGACCCTGATGTTGTCGCATTTTGTTTCGCGTAGGTGCAACCTTACATTTACAACGTGGGTGGCAACGCGGGCATCAAGATTGCGCTGCGCCTGCGCTCCGTGACGGTGGGCCGTCAGCGTGTTGCCAAGGAGGCCAAGCAGACCGATAACCTGGGCACCGACGGCAGCCCCTTTGGTAGCCTTTTGTAAAGCAATCGTGACCTTTACTTAATTTGGATGTAGAGAGTTGCCTTCCACCACTCCTATACAAGCATCACTTCTTGGTTTTTGTCTTTGCGGCTTTGGGTTTTGGCGATGAATTTCTCCTCCTCGTTCCCGGCTAGACCTGGGGCGCTGGTCGTGGAGATGCAGCGCATCTTGTAAGCCATTTTTTCATGATTGTGACGAGTTCTTCCTCCACTTGTCTTTTCTACCTGTCCACAAGCCACATCTGTGCCGTCCGTGTGCTTCGAACAATCACAGCGGGAAGAAGGAGTTGAACAGGGTAAAAGAAAAAAGAGAAAAAAAACCCACACAAAACACCCGAAAGGAAACCACAGTAAAACAGCTGTTTAGCACAAGATGGACCAAGCTTTGTTTGTCTCACCCAACAAAACAGCACCCATCCTGATAGGATGGCGCCAACGGCCACCACCCATACGCAACCACACCCGATTGACCCTTTAACACTAATATCCGCTTGATCGAGTCACACTTGTTGTGTGTTGTGTGGCGATTGTCTCTCGTCCGTTTTCTTTTGTTTGAGCTGTAAATGTGTGACGGATTTTCCGACCAGGAGGAGTAGGATCAGAGATGTAGACGGGTGTGGGGTATGATGTAGAGATGATGGTTGGGGGTGGAGCGGTGTAAAGGGGGCAAGCAAGCTGTTGGCAGAGAACGTGGCCTCGGCCTCGCACAGCCTAGAGAGTGCCCACAACTGACCTAGTATGAGTTGCCTGACACAGCTCGGGTCATACACAACGAAAGCGCCCCACGCACACAGGTGTGGGTATTCTCGTTATAAAATAACGATAAAGCAGGCTACAGGTGTGGGACCATGCTGAACGGGGGTGGCTGCCCTTTCAAAGGGAGGCGTTGGACGTATTTTTCTGCGTTTTTCAGAGTCTCACAACACGTACGTACCGCTGTTGGTCTGGCTGGTCGCCCCGATGCCCCGACGCGCTGTGCGCGCGTGTGTGTATGTATGTGCGTATGTGTGTGTGAGGGTGAGCAAGAGAGAAGGAGAGGGAGGGAGAGAGAGGAGAGAGAGAGGGGAACGTAGCAAAACGTGAGAGAAAAAAAATCGAGAGAGATTCAAGCCATTGACTGGCAGATGGAAAGCTTTGAAAAATGGCAGCGGCATCATGGTTTTTAAAGGGTGAGCGAGGTGTCCAGGTCAAGAGGATAATGGTGTGGCCATGGGTCTGGGTGTGCTGACTGAGCCCCCGGCAGAGTATTATTTTGTTTTGCTCATCGGCAGCGTCGCTTGACCCTTCTCTTTGTGATCGTCTGACCATGTGAATGCACGCTTGCTGCTCAATGCGATAGGGTTGACTTTTCTCGTCCGTGCTTCCTCCCGCCGTTGCTGCGGTGGCGCTTTTGCGGGGGAGGTGCTTTTTTGCTCTTTTCGTCTTCCCAGTCCGGCTGGCCTTGATCGGTGACCCGGATTGACTCGCCGTGGTTAAAATCATGGCAGTGGAGGCCATGGCACCCGCCACCAAGGGTTTATCGCAGCGACAGCGGGGCGTGGGTTGGCCCACTTGCGCGTTTGTGCTGCTGGGCTTGGCGCTGGTCGCTCAGCCAATGGCAGCCTTTACCATCTCGTCAGCCGTCTCCTCTCCAACGGGCCCCGCTGTCAATGCCTCGCTCTTGGTCACGCCGGCCGTGCTCAATGCTTCCCTTGATAACCTCACGCATACCCTCCCCGTGCGCCTCGTGGTTGAGGGTCCGCCTGCCTGGCGTTTGCAAAACCTGACCGCTCAATTCGCCACGACCAGTCCTCTGGCGCTGGGAGGCCCCATGCCTGCTCTCACGGCTGCCCTGCCTGCCACAACGGCACAGTTGTCATCCCAGACGGCCACTCTTGCGCAGGCAGATGTCAATGCCTCATCTTTGAGCCTCGATTGCAACCTGACCGTGTCTGTCGCGGCCGCCAATGCCATCCATGGCGTTGTCGCTTTGCCCCTCACCGTCACCCTCTCCTTCTCAGCCCTCGAGCTTGACAATAACCAATCCAGCTACCCCATCAGCTACACCACCATGCTCGCTCTTCCAGCTGCCCACCCCCTCTTGCTTCAGGGTCCCGATCCACTGTTTGGCACGCTGATGACCACCCCCTGTGAATACGCCGCCGTCGTCTCTGCCATGGCTGAAGTCGACTTTTCCACTTGCGCCATTCCCCTTTCCTCAGTGGCCCTTCCCACGCCCGTCAGCACCATCATGACCGTTCTGCAGGGCTGGCTTGGAGGCCAGAATCCCCAGTATCAGCCTCTCGATCGCGCCCTCAATGCCCTCAAGATTGCCCTTGAAGATCTTCAAATGGTCTTAACAACCACCGAGTCCATCTTGGACTGCGCGACTACGCAAGTCCTGACCACCCTAGCTGACGACATTATCCGCATCTCTCATGCCCAAGAAGCAGAGGCTCTTGCGTCGTGGACCTCCCTCGTCACCCCACAGTGTGGCAACGGCGTGTGCAACCTCACGGCGGAATCCTGCCAAACTTGCCTCAGTGATTGCGGCACCTGCCTCTTCGCCTTTGTCCCTTCCAGCTCCAACCAGCAAGTTCCCAACCTGCGCAGCCTTGTCGGTGCCTGGGAACCCTCGAGCAAACTCGGCGCTGTGCGCATTTCTCCGTCCGTCTTTGCGCCCTTGGCATCGGAGTCCCGCCTTTCCTTTGATGTACTGGATGTTGACAACTTTGCTGGCTACAAACTCACGGTATGTGGTCCACGAGCAAGTACCAGACTTGATACTGCAGTGCGCCTCCTTCGTTGTGCGCGTGTGTTGCATCGTTTCTTGGTCGGCTCCACTCTTTTTTTTTGGCTAACCACCTGCTACTTTCCACCCAACAATAGTATGATGCCCGTATTGACTCGGGTAGTGACGAGTATCCTTACTTGCACACCCCGACGGCCGACTACGCCGACACGCTTTGCTTTGCTGGATTGTCCTTTGCCTTTACGGCCAGCGGGCCTGTGGATGATCTCCGCTTTGTGCTTGACCTCTCTGGTGCTTTCATGTTCCGGGACGCCGGCGTCGTGCTTCCCGTTGTAGCGTCCTGGAACGAGACCAGCCAAGCTTGGGAAGCCCTCGCCAATCAATCCCACGATGCCTTGGCGCAAACTCTGACCTTTCACACTACTCAGTCGGCGCAGTACGCGCTTTACGCGCAACCCTTTGTGGCACCCACTACCACCACCACGGCGGCCACTACCGTTGCAACCTCAATCGACAGCACTGCTACGTCTGACGCGACTACGACCATCAATCCCGCTCTGGCCAACGCTCTGGCCGACCTCATGCCCGGCACCAACTCATCCGAACGCGTCAGCACAACCCGCTTTTCCAATACTCTCCTCAACGTAAGGTGTCTCTTCTGCCTGCACGCGAGGGGGCCGCAAAGCTCGCCTCTGCTGTCCACTTTCCCATGCGTTGCTGACCTCTGCCACCGCCGACTCTGCATGCCGTGTCCCGTCTCATGGCGTTACTCTTCTTTTCTTCCTCCTTCCCTCTTGCTCGTCGCTGTAGGCTCTCGATGCGATTCTCGACTCAATCGTTGAAACCCTGCCTGAGGGGGGCGTCGCGGTCCTGTCCCACAACGGGGTCTCCATCAAGGCCGAAAATCGCCCGTCCAATGCGACCAGCAATTATACCGCATCGGGCGTCCAACCCTTCCCCGCCGTGGGTCTGCCTCCAGATTTTGCTGCCGTGCTCGCACAACTGGGCGTGACCGCAGGCGACTCTGTCAACTTGCTTCTCACCTCTTTTGAGGGGCAGAACCCCAACGCCTCTGGCATCATGGATTTTACCATCAAGCTGGGTCAAGATAACCTCGAGGTGCACAACCTGTCCGAGCCCATCCTCATTTCTTTTTACGTTGATTCTGACGTCAATGCTTCGGATGAGAGCGTGGAGTGTCGCTTTTGGAACGCGACGCTGCTGCAGGCCAACTGCACGCCCTCGGACACTTACGACTGCCTCGGCGCCTGGGACGCGACCGGTGTGCGCAAGGTCCCTGAGCTCAGCCACGATAATTATGTCGTCTGCGAAACCGTGCATCTCTCCACTTTTGGCGTGGGCGTGGACTTTACCATCACGCCTCCCGACGTCTCGTTGGCCAACTTTAACCCGGCCAACGCCAAGTACATTTGGGTCCTATGGGGCAGTTTCTACGGCTTTTGTGGCCTGATCTACCTATATGCCTTTTTTGAGAAGCGCGCCTATGATCGTCGTCAAGCAATGATCGATGCCGGTCTGCTGTGGGCGGATGAGCTTGGACCACGCGAAAAGTCAGACGCTGAAATTGACCTTGAGCTGGTCAATCACGGCTTCTTGGGCGGATGGGCCCGCCGTTTTGCGCACATGATCAAGCGCAAGCATCAATGGTGCGCCATCGTCTGGCCAAGCGGCAAATCAGTATATCCCAAGCGCAGCGTGATCGTGACGGCGTTCATGTCCACCACCTCGCTGGCCTTTGGCATGATGGCCATCTTCTGCTACACCGAATCGCAAAACCCCGGCGAGAACACCAACACGTTCCGCGTGACCGTCTCTGGCTCGGACGTGTACCTTCCCCTCGAGGGCATCTATTCTTTTTTCATCACCTTTCCCTTTATGGTCATTCTCTCGATCAGCCTCGCAAAGTACTCTTGCTACTTGGACCTTTTGCGCAAGATCTGCCCAGCTCGTTATCGCAACCACGCGGCCGTAGCCAAGCTGCGGCCCAAGATGCAAGGCATGTACCTGGGTCTCGACGAAGCCTACCCACCGGGGAGCCTGCAGCTGGGCCGTCAGATGTCACGCAAATCCTCGGAAACGGTCATGACCGAGCTGGACCTGGCCATGTTTGAGGAGGTGGAAATGGAGTCGCGCGATCCCTTGCATGGGGCACAGCCCAGTGCCGCCATCGATGACCAAGCGCCGTTTAAGGTGATGCGCCTGTCATTGGATGATGAGAAGAACGTGGATCAGCAGGACGACGAGGGTGTTCTTGCGATGCTGAACAAGGAGGATGAATTGGAGCGCGCTGCGGGTGATGGCACGCGCGAGCAAAAGCTGCTGCGCTCTTTTGCCGACGAGCTCAACATTGCCTTTGACTTCCAGGATAGCATCTCCCAGACCGATTCTGGATTGGCGGCCGAGGACCAAGTGGAATATGACGAGGCCGAGATTGCACACTTTGATCGCCTCATGCGCTTTTATCGCACCACGTCCTATGGCCTGGCGTATTTTCTCTTGATTACGGGGTTGGTGCTGGCGCTGACCTTTATGGGCTCCATGGACGAAGAGGTACAAGTTCGGTACCTCAAGGGCGTGGGCGAGTTTCTGATTTTTTCGGCCATTATCACGGCCCCCCTCGTTTTTTTGGTGGCAAGCGGCCAACGTCAAATGTACATGATGCGCGAGCGCCAGCGGTGTACCGATGCCGAATGGCAATCGCGCGTGGCCATGGCCACGGCCATTGGGACCGCGCTCATCATGACTCGAGCCATGATTCAGCGAGAGATTGGCCGCGCCATTCGTGAAAGTTTTGGGCTTTCCATTCTCTAGTTGTTTTCGTCTTATTTTTTTTTGTGATTCCAGCTTTTCGACTGCTGCGCCCATCATCAGTGATGACCGGTGTCTTTGTGTTTGTGTCTACTCCTGACCCTATGAGGGTGGTTGAGGCTATGGATGTTCTTCGATTTTTTTTTTTTTTTTTCGTTTTACTGAGGGCTGCGCCCACAGCTTTTCCCCCTTTGTTGCTTAGAAAGCGCTTTGTACCTTTTTCTCCAATTGATAAAATATTTTCTTTGCGCCTTGAGATGAAAGTCGAGAAGACTTGATTTGGCAGTGCAGTTGACCTGTGAGCCTGTCAAAGGCAACCAAACAAGGTTCAAGAAAGCAAAGGGGCCATGCGATAGATGGAGTGGACAGGCAAACACCGGAGAGCGAGGCAAACACCAGAGAACCAGGAGGCACTCGAGATATGCGAGCGCGTCAATAATAATAAAAATTTGGTAATGCACATGTCCTTGATTTATTTCGACTGTTGCAATCGGCATTGTGTATCAGCGAAATGCGTTTGCAGCAATATACGTCATAATATAGGACAAGTCATTGTGTGACTTTTAACGTGTTTTGGCTAGAAATGTCATAGGTGAGAATAAAGTTGAGGCGTGCGCGTGTGAGTGGCAGGCAGTCTGGCGACGTCGCGCAGCTCACAAATGGCAGCGGCACAGTCCTAATCAGCCGGAGACGCCGTCGTTCCGATACGCTGAGAGACATGGCTGTGCTCGCACGGGGTACGTCTGACTGTGCGCGCCTCGCCTTCTTCACAGGTAGAAGGAATGCTTGGCAGCGGCGCAACAACAACCACCACCACCACAACAGAAAACCACAAGCTCCGGTGGATGAGGAGTTGAATTTTTTTCTCTCTCTCTCTCTCTCTCTCTCTCGCTCCCCTCTCTCTCTTTCTCTCTCGTGCGCACGTACAGCTGCAGCTGCAGACTTTGTCGTTCCACACTCGGAGCAGGCCTGGTCTGGTCTGCCTATCTCTTGGGCAAGTCGCCTCGTGAACCTTGCGGGATCGGTTGCAACGTGCAGGTGCGGTTGTCCGAGGGGTGTAGCATGGCATGGGTCTTGGCAGCGAGCCGGGGGATGTCGCCAACACCGCGCTTCTCTGTCTTGAGGCTTCCTTTTGATTTTTTTTTTCTTGCGGATTGTGCAGGTTGTGGAGCCTGATCAAGCTGAGAGCAAAGGCACCGTTTGCGGCGGTGGCAGCGCCTGGCGTCGGCCCCCTGCTTGCGGCGGGCAGCCGGCCTTGCCAAGACCGTGCAAGGTCTATCCGTCGCAGGTTTGTGTCGGTCGATTCGCTGAACTCCGCCTCCTTCTTTACCCAGCCCCGTGACTTTGTTGGTCTTCAATCTGGTGGTCCTTGATCGTGAAGAATATCACATCAGTCATTTTCTCACAAGCCTTACGTTCTGACCATCCACGCGGCAGCCTCCTTCTACAGACAAGCGTGCATGGTTCAACCATCATGACGTCTTCAGCTCAAAAGCTGCTTTCGCTGCAGCTTTTGCTGTCGCTCCTCCTTCTCTTTTCATCCTTCGTCGCGTTCAGCAGTGGTGAGATTCACACACGCTTCTCCTGTTTTGCTCGGTCTAAAAGCCATACATGCTCCGCTGGCTTGTTCCAGACCAACGTACCTTTGATCGACAGCTGTTTCTCAAAAGCCAACAACTCACCATCCCATGGCTTGCTGCACCCGATTCTAGCGGACTGCGAGGTCAACGGCTGCAACCACGGTACTTGCAACACCTCAACCAACGTTTGCGACTGCGAGGATGGGTTTCTTGGCCCAGCCTGTACCTTTGAAACTTGTAACGATGAGCGGACTTTCCGGCCTGGGCTTCTGGTTGAGCTTTATGATGACTACAATTTCAAGTCAATGGATGGTGGGCAAATCCTTTGGCGCAACGTCAACTACTACTGGAATTATGATGCCCCTCTACCTCTGCCCGACAATTATTTCTCCATCGTGGTCCAGGGCGTCGTTCGTCCTTCTCAGACCGGGTTTTACAAGTTCCAGTGTCGGTATCGTCAGGGCAATTGTCGGCTCTTTGTTGACCGCAACCAAACAGTCAACAGTGATGCTTTTTATCTCGCTGCCGGCCAGGCCTATCGGTTGAAACTGGAGTTTCAGCACACCTCTGGCTACACATACTTGTATCTCGACTGGTCTGGCCCTCTCGTATCGGCGGACACAGAGCCGACTTTTGTCGTTCTTCCTGCCGAGTACCTTGAACACGAAGTTGTGTGCCCTGGTGGCTGTTCCGCCCGAGGCTGCTGTGAAGTCTCCAATCAATGCCACTGTCCCGAAGGCTACACGGGACACGATTGCAGCATCTCCATCAATTCAGCCAATTGCGGCCCCGAATATCCCCAGGGTCCCTACCTTCCAGGCGGCGTCAATGTCGCCCTCTATTCAGACTACTACTGGGGCGCTGGTCAGCCACCCATCACCCAACTGGCGCAGCGTGCGACGAGTCTCTCCTCGACCTCTTCGTCCCCCAGTAGCCTTATTACCAATCGTGACTACTGGTCCTTGACTTACTATGGCAAATTGCGCATCAATGTCACTGGTTGGTACAGCTTTGCCACCTCTGTGACTTCTGGTTCAGCCGTGGTCTTGGTTGGTCCCCACGCCGTCATCACACCTCTCGCAGGCAGCATATCGCGCCAAGTATATCTGGTTGGCGACAGATTTTATGATTTTCGTGCCAGCTATCGCCATTCGAGTGGGACTGCCGCTTTCCACGTGTATTGGACTCCGCCCGGAAAAAGCCAGTCCCTGATAACAACCTCTGAACTATTTACGCCAACTCAGGGTAGCTTTTGCCAATTGCAAAACATGTGCAACAGCAATGGCTTCAATAATAACGGTCTTTGTCTCTGTGGCCCGATTCACGAAGGTGACTCGTGTGAGCACTATCGGTGCCGGTCTGACGAGTGCCGGTACACGGACAATTGCTATGACGAGGCCTACGGCAGTGACGACGGCGAATGCGGGGGCCAGGGTCGGTGCGTGGCCGGTCTGTGCGAGTGCTACGGGGCGCTGACGATGGAGAGCCAGTGCACTCGCGTGGGCTGCGCCGATGACGTGGACTGCTCCAACCACGGAACGTGCGGAGCGGAGGGGACATGTGAATGCGATGCCGGATACATGGGCGAAGCATGCGAGCTGACGGTATGCGGAGATGAGCGCGCGGTTCACCAGGGCTTGATTGCGACCTTCTACGATGGGAGCGGGTTTGATGAGCGGCGTGCCATGGTGGCGATGCCGCGTGTGTCGACGGACCCCGATTACGATGCCCCGCACCCGGGGCTGCCAAGCGACTACTTTAGCATTGTATATGCGGGGTTTGTGCGGCCCAAGGAGACGGGGTGGTATCGGTTCCGCCTGCGGCGTGAGAACAGCAACGCGTATATTTACCTGAACCGGAGCTCGTACGATGACAGTGCGGGCCGCGCGGTGTTCTTGACGCGGGTTGAGCTGCTGCGCCTGAAGCTGGAGTGGCGCCACTACACGTCGGATACGTCATTGTACTTTGACTGGATGGGGCCGTTTGCCAACTCGACGCTGGCCGAGGCGGCGCCGACGTCGGCTTTTGGGGTTGTGCCGGACCATGTATTGTTGTATGAGGCGGTGTGTCCGGGCGGCTGCTCGGGTCGCGGGTGCTGTATTGCCCCAGACACGTGCTCGTGTGATCCGGGCTACACGGGTCCTCGCTGCGAGGTTGCGACGGAAGACTGCGGCACCGACGGGCCCTCTGGTGATCTGGTACCTGGCGGCCTACGGACACGTTTTTTCAACGGCGTGCTGGAGGATGCCATGACAAGTACTGCGACATATGCCGACGGCGGTGTGCGCACCCGCATCAACAGCGATTGGGGATCGAGCGGTCCTGCGAGTGGTGTGGACAGCAATTACTGGACAGCCGTGTACACGGGCTATGTGCGGGCTGATCAGACGGGATGGCATACGTTTCGCGTGAGCGCCAGCTCGATGGATGCCCGGCTTTATGTGGGAGGGCTACGCCTTTTCACTTGGACCGAGGCCTGGTCGCAGCCCATGTATCTCGTGGCAAATCGTCTGTATCCGTTGCGCTTCGATGCTCGGGACGGAACGGGATCGGCCGCCGTCTACCTCTACTGGGAGGGGCCAGGTTTTATGGAGCATCTGGTTCCGTCCACTAATTTGTATCACATGACGGAGGGCTTTATGTGTGGCTGTGGTGAGGATGCTTGCTCGAGCTACCAGCGCGGTGTGTGTGCAAATGGCCAATGTGTCTGTCACGGGCAGTTTGAAGGAGACTCGTGCGAGCACTATCGGTGCCGATCCGACGAGTGCCGGTTCTCGGATAATTGTTATGACGAAGCTTATGGTAGCGAGGATGCCGAGTGCAATGGGCAAGGCCGCTGCGTAGCTGGCGTGTGCGAGTGTAATGGGGGCTTCTTGGACGAGAGCCAATGTACACGTGTTGGCTGTTCGCAACCCATGGACTGTTCTAATCGCGGCCTCTGCAACGAACGCGGACAGTGTGAGTGTCAGGTGGGCTACTTTGGTGAGGCTTGTGAGCTTACAGAGTGTGGCAACGAGCGGGCCATGTTGCCAGGTGTCCAGACAACCTACTTTAGCGGCTACTCCTTTGACGAGCGGGAGGCAGCCATTGCTGAGTCCAACATCTATCGTGATCTTGGCACGGGCATTCCTTTCCCTGGGCTCCCGAGCGATTATTTCAGTGCCACTTTTGAGGGCTATTTACGCGTGCCTACCACCGGATGGTACCGTTTCCACTTGGCATGGGAGCGAGGTGAAGGCCGGCTCTTTTTGAACCAAACACAATACACCAACTCAGCTGTTTCCATCTTGATGACCCAAGGCGCCTTGGTGCGTCTCAAGGTGGACTGGCAGCATTCCTCGAGCAGCACATCTATTTTCTTCTCGTGGATGGGTCCGTATAACAGCTCAGCAATGGCGAGTGCGGCAAGCAGTGATGAGTTTGTGGCCGTACCCTCCCACGTTTTACTTCACGAAGCTGTTTGCACGGGAGGCTGTTCAGGTCACGGGTGTTGCGTAGCCGCAGATACTTGTACTTGCGATGAAGGCTTTACAGGGCCGCGCTGCGAAGTGGAGGTGGCAACGTGCTCATCAACAGCTCGTGGCTCACTTGCGGCTGGGTTGCAAACGCGCTACTTTGACGGTGTCTTTGATGACGCTATGGCGTGGGCGCAACCCGTTACCCAAAATCGCAGAAGCAACATCAATGTCGACTTCAACTATGACCCACCGGCGAAAGGTGCGCCGGCTGACTACTTTACGGTCGTTTGGTCTGGCTACATTCTTCCACCTCAGACGGGCTGGTATACATTTCGTCTCACAACGGACAGCATGTCGGCTCGATTGTTCGTTGGGAATCAGCTACTCATCCCCTGGGAAAATGCGTTCTCGACTGAAATATTCTTGCAAGCGCACCGGTACTACCCATTGCGCTACGATGCGCAAGATGGAACCGGTGATGCAGCTACCAGTCTGTATTGGACCGGACCCGGTTTCATGGAGCACATTGTGCCAGCCACTGTGTTTTTTTCGCTGCCCGACACTGAAAGTTGCTCTTGCCCCAACAACTGCACATTGAGCACAAACGGCGTCTGTCTTGACGGGGTGTGCGCTTGCACAGGTGCTTTTGCTGGAGAAACTTGCAACGAATTAAGGTGCCGGGTGGATGAATGCAGCTATCATGACGGTTGTTTTGACCCGGCCAGCGGCAGTAATGGTGCACAATGCAATGGAATTGGAACATGTTCTAACGGTGCCTGTGAGTGCACAAATGGCTTGGGTTTGCACCCGTCGTGTGTTTCGCCGCCGTGTGAAGATGACGACGACTGCAGCAGCCCGCAAGGGATGTGCACAAGCCAAGGATGTGTTTGTGCAGCCGGGTATTCGGGCAACGCTTGTCAATTCACCACGTGTGCCCTGGAGGGCGTGACACCTGGTCTTCAGGCGCTCTTTTTTAACGAGCAGGAACGGCTAGTGGTGGTGGCCACTGCGCAGACCACGTTTCTTGCCGCCACCTGGGACGGTAGTCCATATGCTGGCGTCAACTCCAACTACTTTGGCGTGCAGCTTCAAGGCATGCTTCTATCTCCGGCAGCTGGCTGGTATCGGGTTCAGTGCACGGTGTCTCGAATGGCGTGTTCGTGGCTGCTTAACAATTCAACGGACACGGCTATTGAAATGGAAAAGGGTTGGCAAAATCTAACCGTAGCGTTATCCCACACCTCAAGCACAGCTCAGTTTACTTGGCAACTTGCCGGGCCTTACGCCAATCGAACTATTGCCGAAGCAGACTCTAGCCCCGCATACTGGACACCGGACGATTGGCAGATGGGTCACAAAACGCAATGCGCTCAGTGCGACCACGGTTGCTGCTCGGGATCTGGTGTTTGTGTGTGTGAGCCCGGGTGGGCTGGAACAGCGTGCAACATTTCACTTCCAATGTGTCATAGCACGAACACCACGCTGTCCCACGGTGCCATCGCTCGATACTATACCGACAACTCGTTTGGAAACCTGTTGGCAACTGCATCGGTTGGTCGTCTAAGGGCTAGTTTTGGCTACGATGCCCCATACACCGGTGTCCCGAGCAGTTATTTTGGTATTCGCTTTGAAGCCTTTGTACAGGTGCCGCATGACGGTTGGTATAGTTTTGCTTTCTCGGCCAGCAACATCAACGGCCTGCTTCGAGTTGCAAACGAGCTTGTCCTCCCCACCAGCGGTGGGTTCACGTCATCCATCTATTTGCCCGCCGACTCGGCGATACCCCTCTTTTTGCAGGTGTACAAAACGTCGTCCTCCAGCAGCTCGTACAGTTTGACCATCCGTGGCCCCAACAGTTACGCACGTGATCTCGATGTGAAAAATTTGTTTTACTACAACGGCGTATGCGGCTGCCTTCCGTGCGACTTGGCCACTGTCAACGATCACGATCCTTCTTTCGTAGTTGCATCCACAGCGACTCTTACTGTGCGTGAGTCGCAGCTGGGCATTGTTCGATGGCTCGTTGCGAGTGATCTTGATACCGGCGACTCTTTTGGCATCCAATATGGCTTGGAAACGGATCCCAGCGGTTGCTTCTCTGTTGACGCGGTTACAGGCGCACTGCGTCTCGTTTGCCCGCTGACCAAGAGTGTGCGACCAACGTTTGATCTTGTGGTCAGTGCCACTGATTCGGGCACGCCCCCACGCAGTATGAACGGTACCATTTCCGTATCCGTCGAGTGTGCCACTGGCTTCACCGGAAGCAACTGCACCAGCTGTGCTGCCAACTATGGTGGTTCAACCTGCGCGCCGTGTGTGCCATGCTCGACCCATGGCGTGTGCGGGGAAGGCGGTCAATGCTATTGCACCGATCCCACGTTTACAGGCAGTGCTTGTGAAGATTGTATCGCTCGCCACTACGGCAGCTCCTGTGAGCCCTTGCCATGGGTGGCCAGCTTGACTCCGTCAACGGGCTTGGACTACGGAGGGACCATCGTATCACTGGTTATACACAACATGCCCGCTGTACAAACGAATGTTGTTTGCAGTTTCGATGGCCTCTCAGTTGTAGGAACCGTTTTCGGCAACGATACGGTTACCTGCGTCACACCACGCCACGAAGGCGGAAACATTGCGGTCAAAGTCAGCTTTGACGGCGGCAGCACCTTCATTGGTCCCAGCACAGGCCGCACCTTTACGTACGTGGGGGATTGCCCGCAAACCGATTGCCCTCCAGCTCGTGCCTCCTGCGTGTTTGGAGAGTGCTACTGCTCCCAAAGATATTTTGGAGACAAATGTGCTCAGCAGTACGTAAAACCCGTCATCAAGCCCATCAGCGGCGCCACCGTTTTGCCCGGCGCAGAGTACTCGCAACGTCTGGCTCTGCAGGCTGGGAACGGCGATATCACCTGGGTATTAATGAACGGGCCAGCCGGAGCGTATTTGGCAGATGCCACCGTCTTTTGGACCAGGGCAGTGAGTGCTTCAACAGCTTATAGCTTTGTGGTGGAAGCCCGTAACGCGTATGCTGCCGGCGCTGTGAAATGGGACATTCAAGTGCCATTTGCCTACCAGGCGCACATCCTATCCACAGGCAAAGGAGGGGTCCTGGGCTCTCCAGCGCAGGTGCGCGTGGAAGGTGTCATTACCAAAAGCCACGCAGACATTGTTTTAAGCAACCTTGCCAATTTGTCAGTTAAAATCTGGTAAGTCTTGTTTCATAGAGCTTACAAATGCCGCCTTGATGTCCAACAACAAGCTGCGTGCAAGGGTGCAACCAACCATTGATGTGCAGTTGTCTCATTCCTGTCGTTTTACTTGATAACTTGATGGCATATTAATGACTTGCTTAGGTTGACACAGGCATCGTGGGGAAACCGCCGCCGAGCGACAACATCCACAGTCCTGACAGTTCTAACCAATGCAACCGGGCATTTTTCAAAATCTCTGAGTTTGAGCGGGCGCGGTGTTTACCGCCTGGTCAGTACGGACTTGCTGGTTGGTTTGATTTATATTGTCTCTTTCCTCATGCTTGAAAAATGGCTGCGTGCTTGCCATGTGGCCCCCTTGCCTTTTTTTTTTTTTCCGTGGGATTCTTAGGGCGTTTCACACATTGATGCCACAGTGATGGAGGATGAGAACACGCTGGAAGTGGCGGGTCTGACGTCATCACTCAGTTCGGTCGAAGTGCCCCTCCTATCAGGCACCAATGACACCATCTTCTTAACTCGCGTCAGCAATCCGTCATCAGTCGCCATTGCGGATGTATCTGTATCGTGGACAGGGCTCTATGGCATTCCCATCCCTTCGGGCCTTACGCCGTATGTGCTTTTGGACCAAACGAATATAGCAGCTGGTAGCTACACGTCGCTGCGCCTTGCTGTTCAAGTCGAGGACGATTTTGTTGGCTCGGCTTTGCTGGCCGTGCGCATCACAGATGCTGTGTATGGAGTTTTCGTGCCCGTCACAGTATCCATCGATGTGACAGCTCCAGCTGCACGCATTAAAGCCTCATCCACTTATCTATCCGTCACGGCCATTCGCAATTTCTCGACAAGTCGCTTTGTGACCATTACGAATGTGGGCAGCGCCGCCACTCCCACGCTCGCCGTGGACGTACCGGCAAATCAAGATCTTCTGACCACCACGACGCCCAGAATTTCTCCGCTTCAGCCTCTAGAAAGTGCCGAGGTAGCGCTTGTGTTGACACCACAGGCAGCAGCTGAGCTGCAGCGCGGGTCTGCATACGTTGTCGTTCGTTCGGCTGGCCCTTCAACCTTGAACGAGATTCGTATCTCGCTTGCCTTTACAATATCCAGCAACGCAAGCTATGATGTTGCTGTGGTTGCCGAGGATGAGTATACATACTTTGCTGAGGGGGCGCCCAATGTCTCTGATGCCACAGTTCGTTTGGTGGGCAAGAGCCGCAGCTTCAGCCAAACTCTGAAGACTGGACCCAACGGGCTTGTAGTGTTTCGAAATGTCCCTGAAGGCTTGTACCAAGTTAGCGCGCAGGCTTTGCGTCACACTGCTGACTCGGCTATTATTCGAGTCGATGATGCGCTTTCGCTGACTCAACTGTTCTTAGCTCGAGCTGCTATTAGTTATGTGTGGACGGTAACACCCACGCAGGTGGAAGAGACTTACTCTTTTGCGTTGACGGCTGAGTTTGAGACACGTGTTCCGATGCCTGTCGTCACGATTGAGCCGGCTTCCATCGATTTGGATCGCTTGTCCTACGGTGACATTACGCAGCTGGACTTTGTGATCACCAACGAGGGTTTAATTGCCGCGGAATATCCCGTGCTGAGCCTACCAGATCATCCCGTGATCAAGTTCATTCCGCTCACAGAGCCCGCCACGGTCGTACCTGCTCAAACATCAATCATCTACTCATACGAAGTTATCGTTGATGGAGATGAAGGGGATGATGATGGTGATGGTGATGATGATGATGATGATGATGACTTGGCACCCACGGGCGGTCCATCGTCTACTGCTGCCGCGACAGCATCGACAGATGTTGCAACATCGCCCACCTTTGTAACGACCACAGGCGGTGCAAATCCTCCTGATGGCTCTACACCTGCTGGTGGCTCTACACCTGCTGGTGGCTCTACACCTACTGGTGGCTCTACACCTGCTGGTGGCTCTACACCTGCTGGTGGCTCCACACCCGCTGGTGGCTCTACACCTGCTGATGGCTCTACACCTGCTGGTGGCTCCACACCCGCTGGTGGCTCTACACATGCTGGTGGCTCCACACCCGCTGGTGGCTCCACACATGCTGGTGGCTCCACACCCGCTGGTGGCTCAACTGTTGGGCCAACGTCTTTCACCGACGATCCAACATCCGATGACGATGAGGGTGACGACGACGATGGATCGGACGACGATGACGGTGGTTCAGACAACGATGACGGGGGCTCTGATGGCGGGGGCTCTGATGGTGGAGATGGAGGCGGCGGGAACGGAGGTGGCGGGGGCAGCAGCGGTGGTCCGTATGCTGGATCATGCTACACTGGTCGATTTCAATACCAATACATTTGCAGGGGTTTACAAACTCGCGGCGTTGCAATTGAGATGACTGGCGGAGGTCGGCCTTGCTCATCCTCAGGCCGAGCAGCAGCTTACATTTCATCGCACCGAAGCTCTGGCTCTGGGGTCGTGTATGCGTCTGTCTCTGTTGCCTCGCCAGCAAGCTGTGGTGATCCCTGTAGTTTGGGTGACGTGCTGGGTAACTGTATGGGAAATGACTGCGCAGGGTCGGCAGCTGCTGCGGCGCTGACTTTGGCCTGCGCCAATGCCAAAGAAATGGCAAAACGCTTGTCACGCGCATTGATCGACTGCACAATTGGTGGTTGCCCTCGTGCTCTTGCGAATGTGCCCTTTTGTGATACTAACGCTCTCGGCATCATTCAATGTGTTGGCAACATCGCCACTGGTTGCACTGGTCCTTACGGCGCTGGTATGTATACTGCCTACTTTCATTTGTGTTGCTTAAATGTGTCCGAGAGAAGGAATAATGAGTTGTTTTTTTCGAATGCTGACCCGAAACGTGGTTCAGGCCCGAAACGTGGTGCAGGCCTTTGTATTGACAGGTGGTTGTGCAATGGCTGTTGTGCAATACTCATACCACCTTTGCTCTTTGCTGACCTGCCGGTGTTTTCATCTAGCTGCATCTGCTGCCTTTGGTGCTGCCATGTGCGCAGCAAGTGTGGGATCTGCCTTAAGCTCCTCGGCTCGAAGACGGCGAGAACAGAACCCCACCTTTTTTGAGCTCGTCCGCCGGGACGCCGACGAGGATCTGGCGGCTGAGGGGCTGTATCAAGCGTCTGGGTGGATTCAAAACTATGTACTTTTGATGCAAGCCATTTTCGGGGTGAATGACAACAATTTGGCCTTTGCATACAACTCCTCCTTTCACGCCGAATACTTTATGCCTGCACTGACGGAGGGCAGCGAATTGGATTCATTGATCTCCACTGCGGAGTTGGCAAGTGTTGTGAACGCCTCTCCCGCCAACGTCGATTCAGGAGAGGTCGAGCTGTGGCTTTTAAAGTACAATCGCACAGCCGCGGCCTGGTTGACAGGTGCCGTCAACGCGAGCAATCACGACACGTTTAACCTCACCGACATTGAGAATCGGTTTTCTCAGCTTCAAGCCGACACGAACAACGCTTTGCTGCTGGGTTACACTGATATTCTGTCCGCGTACATGGGGCTGCAGCGAGTTTTCGAGCAATCGCGGGCTAACGCGGCCCGGAAAGCCGGCGTTTGCGCGTCGGTCACCATCACGATCGAACAAGACCTGGTTATGGCCCGCCAAGCATTTGAAGCGCGACTGGAGATTGTCAACGAAGACTCTTACGATCTATCAGACATCAGCGTTGAGTTTATCATTACCCATGTTGCCACACGAATTCAATCGCGTCATGTGTTTGAGATCGGTAGTGCGACCATGGAGGGTGGCCTAACCGGTGTTTCTGGCGGCGGTGTCCTGCCAAGTGGTTCCACAGGCACAGCAACCTGGCTCATGCTTCCAAATGCTTTGGCTGCGCCTACATCAGCTCCCGAGGAGTATGAGGTCGGTGGCATTCTGGTTTACACAATCAATGGCATCACGACAGAGGCGGACCTCTTTCCAGATACGATCACAGTCCAGCCGGATCCTCGGATGACTGTTCACTATTTCCTCCAGGAGTATATCGTCTCTGATGATCCCTTCACAACCGAGCTAGAAGCGGCCTTGCCGGCAACATTGGCCGTTGTGATTCACAATCACGGAAATGGTACAGCTCAGAACATGCGCATTTCTTCCGAGCAACCACAGATTGTCAACAACGAAAAAGGGCTGCTGGTCAATTTTGAGCTGCGAAGCACATCTCTGAACGGTGTGGCTGTGTTGCCACCACGACTGGAGAATGTCGACATGGGAGATTTGACTAGCCGTGCAAGCGCTGTTGTCACGTGGGAACTATTGACCAGCCTACAAGGTCGCTTCACGGACTTTAGCGTCGAAATGCAGTATAGCAACGTTCTAGGCAACGATGAGCTTTCTTTGATTGAGTCTGTCAATTCCTATCAGATGCTGCACATGTCAGCCGTGCCAAACGGCTTTGAGTTTGTTGTTCGTTCGAAAAACGTGCCTGGTCTGTACTGGCTGTTGCACAGCCAAGATCCGCGGGTCATCATCCCACTGGCAAATCCTGCCAATCAAACGGCCGTATACGATGAGGACAGTCAGATCCTCTTTTTCTCCTCGGAGACATTGGTCCCGGGCTTCCGCCTCACTCAGGTTGTATTACCTGCGCGGCAAAAAGCCATTCAGGTTTTGCGACATGAGGGTAACGGTACCGTTATCATTGACCCCAGTCGCTTCTGGGTGATTCACGTCACCGAGCATCTCCAGCCAGCCCGTCGACGTACCACCAATGATGGAATAACCACGAGCACCCTGTATGTGGTTGACGAGGATGAAGGCGGCAGCAGCCTTCCGTATGACTACGAGGCTCATCTGGTTCCTGACCCAGTAGTATTGGATAATACCACCAACCCTACTGCCACAACAACCACACCCAGCGGTGCAGCGACAGGAACGCACAGTCCTACAGCATCGACTACGAATAACGGCGGTGGAATTGCATCAACCTCGAATAATGGCGGTGGGGATGCATCGACCTCTAATAATGGCGGTGGGATTGCATCAACCACGAATAACGGCGGTGGAATTGCATCGACCTCGAATAATGGCGGTGGGGATGCATCGACCTCTAATAATGGCGGTGGGATTGCATCAACCACGAATAACGGCGGTGGAATTGCATCGACCACGAATAACGGCGGTGGGGATGCCAATGTATCTCCTTCTACAACTGCTCACGGCGAGGGGGCCGGGGGGGGCACTGGTACACCGTCTTTGACAACAAACAGTGGTGCGGATGGATTCACCTCCACCCCACCAGCCGATGGAGGCAGTAGTGGCGCATCATCAACCCTACCCAACGGGGGTCAAGGCTCTGCCAGTGACGATGATGACCTCAACTTGGGTCGTTGGTCAACAACCGATGATCCGACGCAGCAAAACAGAGACCCAACGGCACCCCAAAAAGCTTCACAGTTTCCTCTGTGGCTAATTGCACTGGTGGCTATTCTGTTGCTGATTATCATTGCTGTGCTATTGGTTCGATACTGGCGTCGTGCAGGTGCCCAAGCGCGCGCGGATCGTCGAGTCCGCTCCGTGGTCCCTTCAAAAGACAGTGAAGATCTCCGCACCCACTTTACAAATCCTGGATACGAAGGGGTGGTCGACCCTTCATCGGGTCTTTACAGCGAGATTGAGCTGCAAACCGACCGAGCTGTTGAAAATCCGGTCTACGATGGGGCTGTGCAGCTGGATAGCGTGTATGCTGACGCTCGCTCGAAACCACTCCTTGGAACACATGCAGGAGCTGCCGTTGTTTCTCAAGCAGAATACTTTGATCCGCATGCCAAGCAGGATGCGCAGTATTTTGACCCTGCTCAAGCAAGGCAAGGAACTAGCGAGAATCACTACTTTGATCCGCACTCTCAGGTCCCCGCAACGGCCGCGGCGGGCGCTCAAGATTACTTTGATCCAAAAGACATTGGTCTCCGCCCTGTACTTGGTGCCAGCGCAGTTGCTGAAGATGAATTGTATGCTGATGGGATGGAAGTTGGAGCCATGACCACATCAGGTCTAGTCCCAGATGATGGCTACCTCGATCTCGAGGATCACCCTGAGCCGACTGCATCAGATCAGACGTACTTTGATATCAGCCCAGATGCCAATGCACTATTGGATTAAGCTTGCCTTTGCACACCCCACATGCACATACAAATGCCATGTAGAATAAAATTCGTTGCTGACTCTTTGAACTGTGGAATGTGACTAAAAGCCGCCGAGTCAAGTCGCCTCTTCGATTGACATGTGAATTGAACTTGATGATTTACTTTGTTCTATCCCTTTTTGGATCATCACGGCCTGACTGTGTTTGTGCTGTTGTATTCAGAATCAGATGCGATGCGATGCATCAGCCTGAACCGCCAAAACACCGTTTGAATTTTGGTTCGCGAGAAACTCAAGTGTGATAAGCATTCTGTTCATTTGTTCATTTTTTCCATCTGATTTTCATTTCTTGAGCCGATTCTCTTTCTGACTGCTTGGGTCGCGTGCACTTTGAGCTGTCCACATACACCACCCACCCAGCAGCCAACCATGTCAAGAGCACAAGAGAGCGTCTGCTTGCATTGCAATATAGCATTTCATAGTCGTGTTGCAAGAGATCAACATGTCTCTTTGGTGCGTTGCGTGCATCATGAATCTGTCTGATTGCCTCTCCGAAAAAAAAAAGCCACCTCATCACCAGCATTCGTGAGCATGTAGGTGCACCAGAAGCGAACACGGGTCAGGTTGAACGGAGAAGTAATCGTTCGACACCGGGAGGATGACGGCTTTTTTCATTGCCGAGTGGCAGGATGCCACTACCGCCACAAACGTGCGGTCACCCTCAAATCTCATCTCCGACACCAACATGAGGAACGGGCGCCACCGGTGCCGGCTGTGATCAACGACCATCCGCCTGCTCGCCAAAAACCCGCTCGAACGCGCACGAGAAAGCGCATAGTCAGGCTTGACCGGCGCCTAGGCATTGCTGGGGCCCGGCAGTTCATGGAGGGCATTGGTTGCTTGGTGAGCCCTGCTGTTGCATCACTGGTCTGTACGCATTGTGGCCATGTCCTCAGCGGCAGGGTGCTCCATCACATCCTCAACAAGCACCATGTAAGGTGTAGCCAAGAAGACATCGACGCAGCCACGGCACTCCTGCGCTCCCTGCAGCCTGAGGAGCCGCCAATTGACCTCGGGCCAGAATCAGGCCCACGTGTGCCTGTAGAAGGCATCCCTATTCTTGACGGTGTGGGCTGCCCTCTATGCCAGGCTTGCTTTACCTCGAGCGGCAGTCTCAAAAACCATGTTATGGCAGAACATCCACATGAACCAGGGGCCAAGCAGTTGCCTCGACGTGTCAAGCTGCAAAAGCCGTTGCGTGGTGCTGGTGTCCGCTGTGTGGAAGTGATTGTCGAGGAAAGCAATGATGCTTCAGCAGCCGACGTCAGCGAAAACGAGGAGGAGCTGGAGGAGCAGCAGCGGTTTAAGCAGTTCATCTCAAGCACCCAGGCCATGGCGTCAGAGGCTGAGGAGAAGCGCTGCCCGCACGGCGTTTACCAGATGCATCCGTTCTACGACAGCGTGGGCATGACGCTGATCCTGAACGAGCTGACCCCAGAGCAAATTCTCAAGCTGGGCCACGACACCCCACCCGCACCACTTGCGGCGGGCATGCAAGAGATCTTCTGGGAGGCCCACGAACAATTGTCCCAGCACGGTCTGGCGGCTGCTTCCGTGGCGTCCTTGTTCGGAGATGAAGAGTTTCAAGTTCAGCCGCAATCTTTACCCCAAGTATCTCCTGGCACGATGAGCAGATACCTAAACATTGGAGCGCGGCTGGTGCATTTTATACTGCTACTGAACGCACTGCCAGCCCCCGAGCCATCCAGCTTTTTGAGCCAGGTGCTCACCAGTCGTGGGGAGGCCATAACTACAGCTGCTTTGGCCGTGCAAGACGCGCTGGATGCGGGACTGAGCGGGGAGGATCTTGTCGAGCCCTTGGCGGCACTGTGGCTGGCACTGGTGAATGCAGAGCTACATCTGTTTGACAACGACAAGGTGCACTTTGTCAACGTGTTTTTGTTGTGCACGGCCGTGTCCAAGGGAAGCGGTGTCTTGCAGGACATCCGGCGCTGGACCACAACGCTGGCCGGCCTGATTTACATTTTCAAGCTGTTTTTGCTCCGGTTTGGCAAGGCACAGCGATGGGCCACTGCGGGTAAACTCAGGCCTTTTCTACAGTCTGGACGGCTGGTGCATTTTCTGAGCCAGCGCATGACGGCGGCTCGCTCTGCCAGCACGGCCGATGGGCAGGTTGGAGTGGATATTGATGTGCAAACGGACGGTGACATGACGGACGAGGCGCTGCACACCATTGTTTGTCAAGGTACTGAACTCAACGTGAAAGAGATTGGGACCGCCCTGGCACAGATGCGCAACGATATGAAGGAGGTCTTGGACACCCACCTCTTGCTGGGATCGGATCTGCGAGAGCGACATGCTCTCGAGTATGTCCGGCTACGGTCGAAGGAGGATCGGACCAACAGGGTCAAGAATTGGTGGGTGGGCCATGGCAGCCCAGCTGAGCGGGCCCTATTGGATCACATTGGCCAGACTCCGAGCTTGCGGCAAGAATTTATCTGCACGGAGCTGGGGCCAGAAGGAGCTGATGAAGAGCTGACCTTTCGAGAAGACCGCGTGCGGGAATGGCTTCTGTTTGTGGGCAAGTTTAACCAGCTGGCGGTCACTTACACCCACATGGCTGGAGGTACGCTTGCGATCGAGCAAAGACTCTGTTTGAGAAGCTTGGCATGTTTATTGTACCACTCTTATCTGTTTGCATTGGCTTTGGCGTTTTGTTAGGTCTGCCACCTCAAGCAACCGTATATCAAGGGCTATCCTACAAAAATGGCGTGGGTCGGCAACGGGCCGTGTTTTTCGCTGAAAGGCAGCTTTCCATATTGACCCGTCTGGGTAAAACCCACGGGCTCTCTCTAGATGAGCAGCACGCCTATCGGTACATGGACGAGGAAGTCAGCAAGCTGATTTTCATGTATTTGCTCTTGTGCAAGCCTCTGGAGCAGATGCTAACCAGCTGGCTGGAGAAGCGGGGCGCTCTTCAAACCCCTCGCGATGGCGGGCGTGGAACCTACGACGATGATCAGGAAGAGGAGGATCTATTGGAGGACGAGCAGGATGAAGACCACATGAGCCACGACGATGGCATGACCTTGCGACGCGAGGTACAAGACGCTCAACGCCACTATAACAACAGCCACTTGCTCTTCAACATTGCGCCTCTGCAGACCATGCTCAGCCCAGCCTCCATCTACGCTGCCTTTCGTCGACAAATGACCGCCTACCTGCATCAGCCAACGCTGGGAGTGGCCAAGTGGCGACACGCCGTGACCTTTTGGATGACAACATTTGTGACAAACCGGCTCTTTGCCGACCCCGCGAGCACTTTGGGTAGCCTGATGCGCACCCAGGCACAGCCCTTGGGCAACATGGCCAAAGACTTCTTTGCTACCGCAACAAGCAACCAATTGCAAGCCAAAATGTCATCACGTCTGATGCATCAGCTGGCCTCACAAAGCTGGCATGCCTTCTTGGGTCTTGACCGCAAGCGCAGCGTGGCCGAGCTCACAGCCGCCAAGGAAGCTTTGGATGTTCGCCACCCCATAAGCTGGAGCGGGTCATCAAAGCTTGAAGCAGACGGGCGCGTCATCATGGATCCACGAGCCGAGCATGATGTAGCCTACATGACCCAACTGGCCCAGCAGGCACGCATCTCCTGGGGCCACGGCTTTAAAAGCCAAGAACAGTTGGATTTGGCAGCGGCCATCGACCAGCATCGGGACGAGGATGGCTGGCTGATTGTTGTCACGCCGTTAGACATGGACAAGACGCTTTGTACCATGCCCAAACTGGGTTGTCACCCGCATGCCGGCACGGTGCTGTGGATTGTGCCTTTTGCGACCTCGGCCGATAATTTGCTGCAGCGTCTGCAAGCGGCTGGCCACAGTGCGCAAAGGTGGCTGGGCCCCTCGACGCCGGTAGCAGCTGGCCTCGATGTGCTTATTATCACGACTGACAAGTTTGTTAACACGGGCTCTGACGCCCTGCACGCACGTGCTTGCTTCCAAGGCATTAGGACCGTGGTTCTGGACGAAGCGCACACGCTGATCTCTGATGCCAGCAGCCGGAATATGATGGCTCAAGTCGGGGCCTGCGTGGCCTCTGGCGGATGGACCAACATCAAGCGCGTGGCTTTGACTGATACTTTATGCATGTGCGACCAAGAGCGGCTTTTTCGACAACTGGGTCAGCAAGCAGGGGGCAAACTGTACCGCCTGGAAACAATGCGTCACAATGTGGAGCTGCGTGTGCATCATGGCGACCAGCGGGCCTTCTTGTCGCACGTGCAAGGTCTTGTGGACAGGCAGCGGATGACGCGTCAGGAGAATGAGGAGCCTGTGCACATGATGGTCTTTTGTGACACGGTGGCCGAGGTAAAGCTGCTGTGTGACCAGCTGCACGCACGCGGCTATGCAGCTTTGCCCTACTATGCAGACTTGGAAGAGATGGCGCAGAAGGACCATCTGGCACGGTGGCAACAGAGTGAATGCGACGTCATCGTGGCCGCCAGCTGTCTGAGCATGGGTGTGGATCTGTTTACCGTCCGCCACGTGCTGTGGTATGGCAGTGGTCATGACGTCTATACCCTGGTAAAGGTGAGTTGCTGCTCAAACGTTCATGGGACTGTCTCAATTTTTTTAAAAAAAAAATGAATTGTTCATTGAATTAATGGTGTGCATGTAATCGGCCATAGGCATTTGGTCGGGCTGGCCGTGATGGAAAGGACGGAGCTGCCGAGTTGTGGCTGCCAGTCAGGTGCGCCCCAGCACCGGGCATGGAGGCCTTTGTCGAGGGCAGTGTGTGTCGAAGGTGGACGCTTGGCAAAATGTTGGATTCCCGCGCTGCTACATGCCTTGCCACCGGCCAGGCTTCCTGTGACGTGTGCACGCAAATGGCACAGGAAGTGCAGCCAAGCATCGCCGTACACAGTGAACATGTCACTCGATCGGGCGAGACTGCAGTGATGGCTGATGTATCGCCACGGCCAAGTGCTGAACGATTTGATGCAGCCACCGAAGAGCTCAGGTCTGTGTCAGATTCACCCACGGTGTCAGATTCCGAGCTTCAGGCACAGCGACAGGAAGAAGCTCGGGCGCAGCCAGTGCAGAGCAGTGACACTCGTCAAGCTCCAGCATCAGGCGTGACGTTGGCCTCTGAAGCAGGCTCGGCCATGGCTGATTTTTTGCCAAGGCCACGTGCTGGACGACTTGACGAAGAGGCCACGGAACCCATCATGTCTCTGCCAGCAACACCGACGGCATCTGACTTTGAGCTTGAGTTTGATTCCCTGACAGAACTTCAAGAAGATGATGTACCATGTTCTTCCGTGCCAGGTTTGCGGGCCAAAACCACGTCAGGGGGTGAAAATGTGCCTCGGCACGCAACAGAAGCTGCAGCTTCAAACGAGGCTAAGCAGACTTCCACGGCTTTATTACCTCGTCTTGGAGCACCGCTGCCATCTCTGCCAGTACCTTCGGCCTTGCCGATGCGCTTGCCCGTGCCATCTGCTCCCGATGCCTTGTTACCACGGCCCCGAGCAAACGCGCCCTCGGCAGCGCTGCGGCTTACGCGTGTCCGGGCTCTGGCGGAACGCACAACTGCCCTAGCCTCACCCATGGAGAGCTCCCCTGACGGTGACGGCCCTGTAGATATAGACCCTGCCGCAGAGGCCGAGACCACGCAGCACCCTTGCACTTTGTTGGGCAACCAAGGGTCTGGAGTATCTGGCGCAAACCCTACGCGGCCTTCTGCCAAGCGTGTGGCATCTGCTACATTGCCCCCGGCTGCTTTATCATCGCAAGGATGTGAAGCGGCGTCGATGCCACGTCTGAGATCAGACAAGCGAGCCAAGACGACGCGTTCGCGCCTAATCCACAAGGCGGCGGCTGACAAGTTTCTGGATGCGCTGAGGTTGATGCATGCCTATTGCATGCCATGTACCATTCGCCAGTCTCAAGCCGTCTGGAAACCTCAACATATCTGTCCCGAATCAGACGACACATGCACCCGGTGCCATCTCGCGGGGCACAGTGCCGATGAGTGCAACATCGATTTTGAATCTGCCACACGAGAATGTTGCGCCAGATGTGGCATGCCATCTAGGATCGGCGGCCACCCGTTGAAGCATTTGCCGAGCTGTGCAATCGATAAAGGCCTTGGACGAGTCTTGAGCTCCATTGTCCTCCTTGCCGACTGTCATCCGCGGCTGCGCCAACTGGCCAAGCGGATGGGATACGATCTTCAGCCCGGGACGCTGCAGACGCGACATTTTCGCGAAAGATTTATCGCATGGCTGTACTCGGAAGACAAGCATCTGCCGGCAGGCCATTGGCACCTTGTGGAGTTTGTGATTGAAAGCGTTGAGATTTTGATCGGGGCAGCCGCGAGGGCTGTGATATGATAACAGAAGCGACATGCTATTTTTTTAAAAGGTTTGGATAGTATTATAATGGGAGTATGAGGACCGAGAACACCATGATGCGTGGAATCGACCAAGACTTTTATGCAAGTGTGCTTCAGTAGCCTCTGGGCTTTTTCTGTCATGCGGAATGAGCTGCGTCTTGCCAGGAGGGAGCGCAAATTGACATCGTTTGCCTTGCCAAGTACTGTTTGAACGCCTGACACCTGGCATCTTGATGCTCTTGCGCCACACACAACAGAGTGCACGGATCCTTGCAGGCGTTGGCACGATTGACAGGAATACTGAATGATGCGCCAGCAGGCCTGAATCAGTCGTGAGAAAGTGGACCTTGTAATTGCATCCAATATAAAGGATGATGAACGGTTTTGGTCTTTAGAGTACAGTCATAAAGCTAAAATCATGACACATAATGTAGAACAAAGCAGAGAAAATGAAGATTTGACTTTCTGCAGCAAACCTTGTGGAAATGGAAGAATTGAGCTGTATGGAAACGTGACAGCGTTCAGAAAAGACTCGAGATATTGTTGGCTTTTTGTGTGTTTATGTGTGTGTATGTGTGTGTGTGTGTGGGGAGTGTGTGTGTGTGTGGTCACATTTTCTTTTTTTTTTTTTTTTTTGATCAGTCGCCAAGTCGAGGCATTGCTGTTGCTGGCGGCGTGGTTCAGCGTGGGGCAACCATCAGTATCGGTGCGTGCAACAGTACCCGAGTCATCGAGGATCCTGGTCTCGCACGCTTTCCGTTTGGCCAGGTTGGTGAACACCCACAATGACGGCGGTCGGCATACAAGAACCAAGATCGTGACATTCACCTCCGTTTTCTTCCCATCTTCGGCCTCACCTGCTCGTTCGTAGGTGGAGCATTTAGTCAACCAGCCTGGACATTCGCAGACCTTGTGTTCCAATCGACACAAACACGCAACAGCATCTGGCACGGCATGGATGCTTCATCAAGCACTCAGGGTGGAGCGCAGTCGACCCACACATGTCGATCATGCGCTCAAACTTTTACGACGCAGAAGCAGCAAGCGCATCATCAACCTCGCGTGCTGCTCGGCGTTCGATTTCATCTGTCACGCTCTCACATCGCTTTGCAACCAACTTGTAGCGTCATCAACAAGAGTCGCGGATCACCATCGGTCAAAGAAACTTTCTTTTAAAGCGAGCGGCACTCGATGGCAAATTTTGCTGTCCGATCTACGGCTGCAAGAAGCGCTACCCCAAGGCTGAGGGCGTGAGACGGCACATCAGAGCAAAGCACATGGCCATGGCAGAGAAGACTTTTGCCAAGCTGGGCGGTATGCTCGTTCGCAGCCCCGCTTCGCAGATCAACAACGCTCCGAAGTCGGTCATTGGAGCGCCTAAACGCCGATATCCTCATCATCAAGTTTCCTTGGGCAAAAATGCTGATGCATCGCGCGCCAAAATGTATCTGGAATCGCTTGGTCTGGCTCTGGATGAGTACGAGTGGATACTGATTTGCGGCAAGTGCGCGTACGCATTGAGCGAACACCCAGCCCAGCACCTGAAGCGCCACTGCCTGAACGTAGAAGATGCAGACATATCGCTTGCCATGGACCTCATCAAGGAAGCAACGCCACGAAAGGTACCCAAACTCGACATGAACGGCTGCCGACCTGCGTACCCATGCATCCCAGTACATCGGGGCTATAGGTGTCCTTGCTGTACCTTTTGCTTTTCAACACGAGAAAGCCTGGTGCGACATGAACAATGCCATGCTGGTGATCCAGCCACCATCAGACCCTGGGCCTTGGGGTACTGCTTGACCGATTGGCACTCAACCAATTCAGAGAGCTGGGATTTAGCGAGATCAACCCGACGCTAATCACGTGCATGCATGGTCTCTTGGACAAGACGCACGAAAACACGTTACACGCATGCAGCAGAGCTACGATCGCTACATGATTGTGGCTACGCGCTACGTGCAATACCTCTTACGAGCACGGCGCCGTGACAGCCAGCTTCCTGGTCGAATCAGTGACGAGCTGGCAAAAGCTTTGGACGACGTGGAAGTGGCCCAAGGTCAAAATAACATTGCGCTATCCGAGGCGTTGACCAACGTGTGGTGTGCCATCCTTGATGAAAGCACGGACATGAACAACTTGGACTTGGAGTACTGTCCCACCATCTATATCCTTTGCACGACGGTGAAAGCCAACAACACCTTTAAGCAGCCAAGCAGCTGGACGCCAACGCTGGCAGCCCTGTTGTGGATCTGCCGCTTGTTCCTGCTCTTCCGCCGCCAGCTCGATCGAAATAGTCCGGGCGCGCTGACGGATGATACTGCTGTCAAGACACGGTTGACGGAGGGCCGCATTTGCTACTATCTTGGTAGTAAATTGACCTATGTTCGCAAATGCTCCTCGGAGGAGGGCAAATACGGTGTTGACGTGGTGTTTGAAACGCAGCCAGCCCCCGGACAGGAGTTTCAGGCTTTGACAGTGAATGGCATTCGTATGGACGTGTCTAAGTTTGGGACAGGTCTGCGAGCTATGCGAGCAGGAATGAACCAAATTCTCACCAAGGACCTCCTGTTCAACTCGGGGCTGGAGAAGCGAGTTTATGCTGTCTTGCCCTCACTGCTTGACTCAGATCAGTCCGGGCCCCCACAGTCCTGGTTAGGCCAGGATTTGAAGGACGCTGGCGGTCGTGACTTTTACACAATGCTGTTGGAGCACATTTTGGAAACTCCAGAGCTGGTCAAGGAGTTTACCATGCCTAATGCACCCGGCAAGTTCAGCGTAGAATCAGTGTGGCGGTGGATCTGCTCCCTGCAAGAGTTTAATCGCCTGGCATTGACCTATACACACCTGTCAACTGGTACGTCTGATCGTTTGAGTGGTGTTGTTTGTTGCAAAAAAAATTTACATGCGCAGAGTCTCACCATACACCTGTGCATAGCCCCACCCGTGCATGCGACGGTATACACGAGCCTTTTTTATCGCGACTCCTCCGCCAGCCCCAGAAATGTCTTCTTCTCCGGCAACCGCTTGGCGTTTGTCGCGCAACAAGGCGAAGCTACATTGATCAACAACCCCGAGTCGCATGCTACACACTACATGGACGAGCGGACCAGTGCAATTATGATGGCTTACCTGCTATTGTGCAAGCCATTGGAGGAGCTGTTTGCTGATTACTTGCAAGAGCGAGGCGAATTGATCACGTCCTCGGCAATAGATTCCAATTCTTTGACGGAAGAGGAGCAAGATGAGCTCGAGGCCGGCGCGATGGAGGTCGAAGATTCGGTCGCGCCAAACACTTCCAGCCCTGCTGACGACCAGCACGCTGATCTGCGAGCTTTCAAGCGTGTCGAACTGGAGGGCACGTATGAGCTGCTATTCAATATTGTGCCGATGCAGCTCGAAAAACAGCTTCGACCAGGCCTAGTCTACCGAACCATCCAGGCCGTGACCAAGCGATTTCTTGGAACCAGCATCACTGTCAGCGCATGGCGGCACATGAGCGTGGCCTGGCTGCGCACACTGGTGATGCATGATGCGCCCGAGCTTTTAGGGGCGCTGGATGTAACTTACTCTCAAAGCCAGCGTGGAGGTCGGACGGCACGCGACGTCCATGGCCGCACGCAGCGCGACCACAAGGTTGCGTCCAGCGAATCAGAGTATGGCCACCAATTTCTGTCCGACGAGTGGCGCAAGCTCATCCAGCTGATGTAAGAGATTCAAGAAGCTGGAACCATACATGAACAGACCTGCGTATGACAAGTGGTTCAAAGGCACGTTGTCATTCAGGCGTCATGGTTTAGTAATGCCGTGCACATGTGCAGGTGACCGGCAACATCAATTGTCTCTCCTTGTTGTGACACATGCGGTCGGACACGAGTTGCACTTGCTCTATCCTCGGCATTAGCAACTCGACAGCTATTCTAAGGGTGCACCTGTTCTGATCACTGTGAATACTTGCCGACCGCAGCTGGTTCAATTGACCTCAAGACACCATCAAACCTTTCAATCTATCGCGACTCCTCCGCCAGCGCCAGACATGTCTTCTTCTCCGGCAATTTGATTCATGCGGAGCAGGCCAAACGCTGGCGGTGCGCTGCTACTGTTCTCTGTAGCGTCGGCTGGCACTTGGATCCTCAATTGTTCAATGACCAAGACCTACAAACGCTTGGTGACCGCGTGGATGCCCTAACGTCGGCCTCTGTAGCTGCACCTTGATACTTTTTTACAAATTGAAATTTGTGGCGCTTTAGAGTGGCTTGTCGATTGCTATGCAAAAAGAAAGTAAAGTCAATGGGCAGGGCGGGCCTTGCCAACCGTCTGAAGCAGAACCGTCCAACAAGCACGGAAAAGAGCGAGAAACCGCTTCGTCTTCTTTTACCATGACAACGGATAATAGCAATAGTGTCTCGGTAGTGGTGGATGCGGCGCTGCACGAGCTGGTGACGAGGGCATTGAGCGGCGGTCTTATCATGCAAGCGATCAGTTCCGGTCACGCTCGGGTATTCTGACAATTGGATGCAGTAAATGTGTGTCTGGTTGCCAAGGTTCTTGGTGTCTTTGCAAGTCAGTTTGTGAGACACCTGTGCTAGGTGCGTTGGTTGGCTACAAGTGTGGGTAAAACTGCGTCGTCAGCAGAAGCGAAGGCGCGACCCAGACTGAAGAGCGACGTCCACGCCAAGTCTATCAAACCATCCAGGCCGTGACCAAGCAATTTCTTGGAACTAGCATCACTGTCAGTGCATGGCGGCACATGAGCGTGGCTTGGCTGCGTACACTGGTGTTGCATCATACGCCCGAGCCTTCATTGGGGGCGTTGAATGTGGCACACTCTCAAAGCCAGCATGCAGGCAGAACGGCACGCAACGTCTATGGCCGCACGCAGCTCGATCACAAGTTTGTGTCCAGCGAAGCACAGTATGGCCACCAGTTTGTGTCTGAAGAATGGCACAAGCTCATGAAGCTGGTAGATGTAGAGGATCAGATCCAAGCCGAGGCCGTGGATGAGCGTATCTGCGTGCAACAAGTGGTTCATAAACAGGTGGTCATCCAGTCGTCTCGGGTCAGAAACGTCAGCACACAGGTGCAAGCGACCGCAGGCACGCAAACGGATCTCGAGGTTGAAGCCTGTCTTGATGCTGAAGACGACATTGACGAAATTATTGCCGAGTTGGATTTAGGCGAAGCTGAGGCAGCCGAATCGTCCATGCCAGTTGCCGTGCAGCGAGCCGTGGAAGAGGCTGCGTCGACGGCCTTGCAGCAAGAGCCAAGCCAGCACAGTGGCCAAACGCAGCAAGAAGAGTATGAGGATTAGATTTGGCTTGCTCAATGTGTGCGGCAAGCGTGGAAGACAACGTTTCGCGACTGGGATCAGTACCGATTGGCACAGGCTGTGACTCGGCACTAAGCTCAGGATGGCTGGCTGTTGGCCGTGGCCCCGACTGGCATGGGCAAGACGCTGTGCACACTTGCTCACCTCCAGCCACGCAAGGTCGTGGTGTGGGTAGTGCCGCTTCGTGAGCTTGCCAGAGACTGGTGCCGCCGCTTCGAGCAGGCTGACATTGTATCGCAGTGGGCTAAGAATGATGGCCGTGACATGCAAGTCAACGTTCAAGTGATTGTCATGACGGTTGACCTTTTGGTTGGCCATGGGATGAGGTGGGTGCAAACACTCGTGCAGCAGAAGCGTCTGGCCATGCTAGTGATGGACGAGGTTCACACAATGCTCGTGGACACTAGCTATCGAGAGAGTCTAGTTCGCTGCCCAGGCCGGCTGGACCATCTTCGCCAAGACCCATCTGTCAAGTGTGTGGGCCTCACTGGCACGCTTTGCCCCAAAGATGAGCGGGCTCTGCTCCAACAGCTGGATTACACGGAGGACGCTTCGTACCAGACCTTTCGTATGCCAACCATGCGAACCGATCTTCGGCTAGGGGTGCAACAAGGAACAACAAAGGCATTTGAGAAGTTTGTGAAACATCACTACGACATGTTGGAGCGAGAGAGCCGCGTGGATCGCATGCTGATTTTTTGTGACACGAAGAAGCAGGTTGAGGCATTGTCGACTCAGTTGGCACGCCCGTTGGGTCACGAGCAGTCGCTGGCCGTGGATGCTGACATGTCAGCCGAAGACACGCGAGCCGCTCTTGAGCAGTGGAGGAGCGGCACGCAGAGTCTGGTCTTGGTGGCCACAAGCTGTTTGGGCGCGGGCTTGGACATGCCCAACGTCCGGAAGGTGATCTGGTTTGGCAGCGGCTACAACGGCTACACCTTGTCGCAGGCCTTTGGCCGGGCTGGCCGCGACCGACGGGGTGGCGAGGCCACGCTATGGATACCACCAGGCACAGCGGTTTCGGAAGACCTGCAGCCATTTGCAAGCATGAAGCGCTGCCTGACCTTTGAGCTTGGTTGGCTGCTGGATGGTGAGGGCCACATTTGTGCGGCCGCAGGAGCGCCGGCTTGCACCGTCTGCTCCATGATGCAACCGACCTTCACAGCGCGCCATCCAAGCCGTGAAGCACATGGGGCGCCAGTATCACACGAGGGCCAGACGCGGGCCAAACGAGCGCAGTTGATGGTACCATCGGCGCCCATTCAGTCAGACGACTTTAACACGGCTCTGCTATGGATGTGCACCTACTGCTGGGCCTGCAGCTGCAGCAGAGACCGCTTGGTTGCTCACCACCAGCCTTCTAGCTGCCCGGCCATGAAAGGGCGCTGTTTTCGATGCCACTGCCGCGGTCATGGTAGTAGCAATTGCCAAGTGACCTTGGGGGCGGGTGTTTGCTACCGGTGTTGGAGGCCGCAGAAGATTGGAGGTGAGCAAGTGGTGGAGTGCACGGGGCGGGCCTGTGGCCAGCGCAACCGCGAGACCATCCGGGCCTTGGTCGCGTCTGTGTCACGCAGTCAAACTTTGCACGGCATCATGCAGCGCATGGAGTGCCCGGCTGAGCTGCTGGCAGTTAGAGGGCGGGACTTTGACCCGTCGGAGATGCAGGCGCTTGTGGGCTGGCTGTACGGGCGCGTTGGCCACCCGCGCGTGCTGAAGCTTGTGATTGAAGCGAAACGGCAGTTTGCAATGATGAAGTGAGTGTTTGTTTGTTTTTGAAGCGGGGGTATAATTGAGACGTTTGACAGCTTGTGGGCTGTTTGCGTTAGAGGAGATACGCTGATCGAGCATGGATGTGAACAGATATTGAAGTGAAATCAGTTGCGTTGAAGGGGAAAAGAAATTACGATGGGAGGGAAACATCGAAGGAAGAGACACGGATGAGCAATGATGAAAATAGTAGAAATGAGTAAAAATGTGGAATGAAGAAAAAGAATTGGTTGGTGGTACATGTAGAGAAAAGAGGTGGAATATGAGGATGGTGTGAAGAAGGTGTTTTAGAAAAGGGGAAAAGAAAATAAGATAGCCTGAACGAACAGCATACCTTTCGATACATGGACCAGGAAATCAGCACGCTGATATTCATGCATCTGCTGCTGTGCAAGCCTCTGGAGCACATGCTGAGCAGCTGGCTGCAAAAGCGGGGCAGCCTGAAAACCCCCGACGACGAGAATGGCATTCACAATGCCGAGCAGGACGACGAAGATTTGCTCGACGACGAGCTGGATGAAGACCACATGAGCCACGACGAGACGATGACTTTGCGACGCGAGGTCCGGGACGCTCGAAACCACTACAACAACAGCCACCTGCTCTTCAACATTGCGCCCCTGCAGACGATGGTCAGCCCAGCCACCATATATGCGACATTTCGTCGACAAATGACCACGTACCTGCATCGGCCAAAGCTGGGGGTGGCCACGTGGCGACACGCCGCAACCTTCTGGATGACGACGTTTGTGATTAACCGACTGTCGGCCGAGACGACCGACGCCCTGGGCAGCCTGATCCACACTCAAGCTCAACACTCTGGGGACACAGCCCAGCGGGCCTATGCACGCACAGCTAGTGACCATGTGCAAACCAAAATGTCGTCGCGACTGATGCATCAAGTGGCCTCGCAAAAATGGCATGCTTTGTTTGGACTAGATCGCAAGCGCAGCATAGCCGAGTTGACCGCGAACCAAGAAGCATTGGAAGCTCGCTATCCCATCAGCTGGAACCCGGTGACTGACCTCTCGCCCGAGGCAAACGGGCGTATCATCATGAACACGAGGGCAGAGCATGACGTACCCTACATGACCCAGCTGGCCAAGC